CAGGGGTTGTTTTTTTTTTTTTTTTTTTTTTTTTCAATACCCAAACATGTGTTTTAGCAAAACCTTTCCCCCTTTCCCCCAGGGGGGGGGGGGGGCCCCCCCCCCCCCCCCCCCCCCCACAACATGGCTAAATGCTTCCAGATCTCAACCCCTGCAGCAGCAGCATCAAAGGCCAAACATGCCATGATTTATTATGCCAAACAACAGTTCCAATTCTGACAGAGACATCCTCCATACATTTGAAACAACTCACCTTTTCTTGTACACAGGGCGTCGTAGGCGACACACTACTTTTTGCACTGCCCGCATCTTGGCGTTCACCAAAGTCAATGGAAGAAACCTCTCCGTTGCTCAGATGCTCTATCTTCTTATCCTCAGCAGGGTGGCCTGCCACCACCCGCTCACTTATTGGACGACCCGCCACAACCTCTTCACTCGCGTCCCCGTTATCTGTACGTACAGATTCCATCACTTTTTGTCCGATCTGAGCGGCAGGAACCGCCCCCTCACTTGAATCATGACTCGTAATCAAACTCCAAACGCCATCTAAGTTCCGTCGACCAGGGAATACACCGACAACCCCCTCCCTTTCCCCCTGAATACCCCCAACTTTCCAATCCGGCTCTCCAGCTTTGTCATATGGCTGGCCATGGTTACCATTTTCAGTGCCAATCTTATCATCATCCAGCTTCTTTGGCTCCTCCCTCCTCTGCACTACACTAACTCCCCCTTCATTGTCCACCTGACGGTTGTCATCGACTTCGGCGTCATTCTGACCGTCATCCCATGGCTTCTCAAACTCCTCCCCCCCCTGAATTTCTCCGTCTCCCTCGTCAGGCCGGGCGTTGTTCTCGTCTTCACAGTCATTCTCATCGTCATCACACCGTTTGTCAGACTCCTTCCCCCCTTGATGTTCTCCATCTTCCTTGTCCGACCAAACGTTGTCATCACCTTTAGAGCCATTCTCATTATCTTCATCCACTGGCCGCAGTAGAATTGAGGAAACAGTAGGAATACCCAGCCCCATCGTCGCAAAATTCCCCATCAATCTTGATGTGCCAACAGGGAAGCCAGGGCCACCACTTGTGGTCGGACCGAGAGCGGCTGCTGTTGCGGAGTTCGCCATCCCTCTTGATGTGCCAACAGGTGATGTGCCAACAGGGAAGCCAGGCCCACCCGTGGTCGGACCAGGAGAAGTGCCCGCCATCTCAAAGTCTAGGATCGATGTCCCGAAGCCACAGGCAATGCCACCTGTGGTCTGACCGAGAGTGGCTGCCGTCGCAGAATTCGCCATCCCTCTTGATGTGCCAACAGGGAAGCCAGTGCCACTTGTGGTCGGACCAGGAGAAGTGCCCGCCGGCTCAAAATTTAGGATGGATGTCCCAAAGCCAAGGCCAGTGCCACCTGTGGTCTGACCCAGAGTGGCCGCGGTCGCAGAATTCTTCATCCCCGTTGATGTACCAAAAGGAAATCCAGTGCCACTTGTGGTCAGACCAGGAGAAGTGGCCGCCGTCTCAAAACTTAGGATTGGTGTCCCAAAGCCAGTGCCGCCTGTGGTCTGACCCGGAGTGGCCGCCGTGGCAGAATTTCCCATCTCTCTTGTTGTACCAGCAGGGAACCTAGGACCACTTGTGGTCGGACCGGGAGTGGCCTCCGTCGCAAAATTTGGGATTGATGTCCTAAGAAGGAAGCCAGTGGCACCTGTGGTCTGACCGTGACCCAGAGTGGCCGCCGTCGCAGAATTCGTCCTCCCCTTTGATGTCCCAAGAGGAAATCCAGTGCCACTTGCGGTCCGATTGGGAGTAGCCGCCGTCACAGAGTTCTCCATTGCCTTTGCTGTCCCAAGAAGAAAGCCAGTGCCACCTGCGGTCCGATCGGGAGTAGCCGCCGCCGTTGCAAAATTTGTAAAATTTGCCGTCCCTCTTAATGTGCCAGTGGCAAAGTCAGTTGTGGTCTGATCGGGAGTGGCCGCCTCGGCAAAATCCGCCATCGCTCTTGATGTGCCACCAGCCTTGCAGTTGTATCGTCGATATACCTCCCATCTGAGCTCCTCAACATTCCATGCGCTGTATGGCATCATTGCCGATATCGATATGAGCTTTCCATCTATGAGCTTTTCGTCAAGATCACTCGATGCGGTGGCCTTATAGGCCAAGCTCTGGTAGGGAATCATCGACATGTCAGAGTCACAATGGCCGCTGTCCAGTCGCAATGGCCGCTGTCCAGTCGCCGCAGCAGATGAGAAGGACGTCTCCCACCGCACCTCGTCCGCAACGCTCACAGTCTATTCCGCCCTGCAAACTGAACAAGACCTGCAAATAGAACAAACAATAAACAGTGCAACATTGTACATTTTCTTGAGGCAGTATCCCCTAATGTTATTCTTTGCATCTGATCCCCACAGGAATTGAACACATGGTCTGTTCCTCCACAATTAATGAGTGTACTGTTCAGCCACAAGGGGTTGGGGTCAGTCGATTTTGCGCGTTTCGAAAGCCTGTGTGGCGAGCCCCAAAGCTTGGCCTTGCTGGGCACGGGCTGGCTCCGCTACCGTCTTCCCCCGAACATAACGCACCCTAAAAATGAATGCATACAAGCTATATTCCCGGCCAGATGCAGCCAAAATAAGGGTGCGTTGTGTTCGGGGGAAGACGGTAGGTGTAACTCCCTATTTTCAGCAGATGGTATCTCGATTCTGGCTGTCCTGTTGGGACCCAACCCATGCACTTTTGGTTCTCGGCGTCTGAAGAAGGAAGGAGCTTGACCCCTCTCGTGGGCCATTGGTTCAAATTAGATCTGACATCCGAGGGATGCTTCCATGCAGAGTAAGAAGCCGCCCAGTGGGATACTATTATATAAGACTAGAAATATATGTCAAAAGTCCTTCGGGACATCCTTTAAAATTGGAACGATACAGAGAAGAATAGCATGGCCCCTGCGCAAGGATGACACGCATAAATCGAGAAATGATCCAAAATATATATATATATATATATCGTCAAATAGAACTGCCCGGTAAACCGTAGGCAGAGAGGGAGAAGAGGACAACAAACGAGGGGCTGTGACAAACTGTTTCGTCGGAGTTTTATATATATATTGTGAATCAGAGCGCAAAAAAGGGAAAAGAAAAAAGGAAAAGGAAAAAAAGGGAAAGGGAAGGAGGTAAGGAAGCTCCACCTGTTCATAACCTCTTACGTACAAGGCCATCCACGTGGATGACAGGTTGAGCGCTGGCTGCCCCCATCCCCGTGTGTCACAAGGACCCACTTGCACGCAGCCAAAAGGCAAAGAGGTAAAGAAGGGGAGGAGGAAACCAAACCTGACAGGGAAAGAAAGATAGGGAAAGAAAGATAATCCAATTATCACAAAGCAAATAACACATCCCACAGATCAACGTATCTTTTTTCTTTTTTTCTTTTTTTCTTTCTTTTTTCTTTTT